ATACATGCCATACATACCATACCTACCTTACATAGTAACCATACGTACCATACAGACCATACATACTGTCATATCAAACATACCATACCCAACAGACTTACATACCATACCTACCATCCGTACAATACCAACCATTCATGCCATACATACCATACCTACCATACATACCATACTTTCCAAACATGCCATACCAGACCGACCATACACACCATACATACCCAACATACCATACCACAGGGGGAGGGGGACAGTACCACACCCCCTCCCCCCCCACACCACATTGGGGGGGAGGGGGACAGTGCCACACCCCCACCACACCACGGGGGGGAGGGAGGGGGTGGCAGGGCCTGGTGCATATACTTCAGTGTATATATATATATATATGTACACTTGTAAGTTATATCACTGTATATATATATATAGATAGGATGAGCACGGTAATGGCATGATATATACTTATATATGTATATGTGTAATATCATGATATCATATTATATCATGATATGTCTTATCATGATATGTTTTATCATGATATGGTAAATCAGAATAAAGATATGTACTGGTATGCCATGGTTCAGCAATGTATAAACATAAATAAATATCATGCTGTACCTCCCAAACCATCACTTAGTATTGAAACCCATGCTGACTTGGGGATCCTCCATTTTAGGACACCCCCATATGATAGAAATCAGGCTGACCATGTCACCATGTCCAGGCCTTCCGTCGGGCAACTTTCACCCAGATGGACGAGCACGCGGGAAATTCACCTGGGACCAGCAATATAGGATTCATCAATGAACATGGAGGTTTATTGGGTGTCATGGGGTTGAATGTAGAATATAAGGTTTAAAATGTAAATACATTAAAAAATAACATAATTAATGAATTACATGAATCTGTTTGGCCGGCAGTTGATCCGCCACCGGCTTTGTCCGTTCGGCTCTGCTACCGCTGCCGAGCCAATGGAAGTAGAGTAGAGAGTTGGCCTCTCTGCAAAGTGGACTATATTAAACAACTCCAAAAGCAGACATTTAAAGCAACCCCTGGATTCTGGATTAGGTGTATCTCTATTCCCAGGATTTCAGGAAACACCCTCTATGTAACATATCCCTTACGTCAATGCAAGCCCGCCTGCTTATTCATCTGATTTTGGGTGTGACTTGTCAGTTTGAAAACGGAGAGTTTGGTTGTCTCAAGTACCTGAAAGAGGTAAGTGGTAACGCCCTTCCGTTTCCATATTCCAAGCCCGCAGGTGAGCAGTGTGACCGGGACACCCGCTGCCGGGCCCGTTCTATGAAATGCGCCATCATTGAGATAGGGAATCTCAGTGAAATTGGATGATCGTTTCCTTTTGATAGAAAGGATAGGTTAATCCCGGAGACAATCATCAAGCAACCATCATTTATCAATCATGTATATTCCCCCATATGTCTCGTTGAAAACCCCTAAAAATGATGGTTAAGTTCCATAATCGTTTCCATTGTGTCGCCTCCGCCTTTCGATCGAGTCACTTCGCAGCTCTAACAAGTCTTTCTTCGGCAAGACCAACCTCAGAAGCACCGTAAACAGAGAGGCAATCAAACGTGGCAACTGGAAATCCATGGAAATCCATGGAAATCCACTATATATAAATGGAGGTCTTAATGGAAACTTAACTAATTATAAATGGCAGATTTTCCATTGCCACATTTGATTACAGGAGGTACAGTACCTCCAAATGCAATCGTCAATCCTCACTTCCGACTTCCCCTATTGAATTGGAATAGAACGTCCGTTTGAGGTGAGGTCCTCATTTCCAGACACACTCCCTCGGCACAAGGAAAAAACACCCCAAAAATTCACCCTGCCGAGAGCATGACAGAGATATGGGTACCCATATGGATAATCTGATTGGTGGTTTCAAGTTTCAACCCATCCTGAACATGTGCTCAGTTCTAGGGATGAACAATTAAATGTGGTATACAACTTCGGCAAACCACTATTTTTGGTTTATCATCCTTATCATCCAAGATAGACCAGGTATTCTCCCACTCCAGCCCAATGATTTGATATATCTTAGAATCTATGTACAGTTGGGCAATGTTGGGTATAGGTCAAAATTGGGTACCCCAAATTAGATGGTTGGTGCTATACATATATATATATACATTCCAACCATTTCAAATCTCTAGTACCATAGGGCTTAAATTTTGACCAATCCCCAGTTGGATGTGGTAAAAAACTGGACTACCCCTGGATTTACCAAGCCACACTTCCGCTCCCAGCTCACTCTCCACGCGGGCGTAGGCCGTGCGCGTGGGCAAATCTGCCAGGGGTTCGTACCTGACGTCATCGAGGAATGACAGTTTAAATGGTGATATAACGTAATGTTAGGGAATATAACGGGATATAATGGGATATAACAATATATAATAGGGATATAGTATATGCATATATATATATATATATATAAATATTTATGCATATATATATATGTATATGTAAATGTATGTATATATATATATGTATATGTATGTATGTATATATATATATATATGTATATGTATAAATGTGTGTACATATATGTATGTATATGTATATGTATATATAGGCTCGTCCAGGCTTCTGGAACTACCTAAACCTTGGGGTAAAGGGGTGGGGTGGGATGTTAACGTTCATGTGAACTTGCGGCAGCCGTTGATGCTACGCACACGCGGGGGGGGGGGGGGTGGGGTGGGATGTTAACGTTCATGTGAACTTGCGGCAGGATGTTAACGTTCATGTGAACTTGCGGCAGCAGTTGATGCTACGCACACGCGGGGTGGGGGGGGTGGGGTGGGATGTTAACGTTCATGTGAACTTGCGGCTCGATGTTAACATTCATGTGAACTTGCGGCAGCAGTTGATGATGATGATGATGATGATGATGATGATGATGATGATAATGACCCTAATGAAACTTGTTAATTCCGCGACGAAATTTCGTCACGGAATGGACAAGTTTTACCAACCTAATTCAGGTTTAGGTAGTTCCAGAAGCCTGCACGAGGCTATATATACATATGTATTTATGTATATATGTAAATATGTATTATAGCATATATCCATATATCTATGTATGTGTATGTATATATTATATGTATGTGTATGTATATATTATGTGTATATATGTGTATGTATATATTATATGTATATATGTGTATGTATATATATATATTAAACCAAACTGATTATGGTGATTTAACATGATTTAACGGGATTTAATGAATGAGAATTTCATCCCAGGCCCAGTTCTTCAGCACGCCTGTCCAAGGAGTATATACCCAATTGAGGTCCAACAACAATGTGCGTTTTGCTTTTTCCACGTTACGAGAAAAAAAACATGTGGAATAGTTCAACCATGTTCAACCTACAAAGATATCGAGCTGGCCAGACTTGGTCAACATGAGAAGTCCTCATCCGTTGCTTCTCTTCAAAATGCACCCCCGCCATACCCGCTTGATATAGTTTGGGACTTATTTGTGGTCAGAGCCTAATCTTGGGTGACCCATGGTGACATCATCAAACTGCCCACCCTGAACCATCGGCTGTCACCTCCAAGCCCCATAGGCCCCATAGGCCCCATAGGACTTTCCCCCCCCGTACACACAGCCTCTGGTAATCAAACGTGGCAAAAACGAAAATTCCCCTATAAATGGTGGTTTGAATGACAAAGACATCTACAGTACCACAGTATAAACATATTATATATATATATATATCATATATAATACCTATGTATATATATATATATTATATTACATACAAATAAATGCGGGATTTTCAATTGTTGGACTACCAGAGGGTACAAACTGAGTGCCCGCCCCTTCCCGTTGCCAAGCTGCTCTCCGAGATAACTGAGTACACCGAAGAGCTTGTAGGGATACAGCGCTTGCTTCCCCCTTGTGATGTGAAAGTTGCTTGGAAAATAAAAAACATGAATACGATAGTTGTAAGCATCATAAACTCATAAACCATGGTTATTCAAGTTGTAAAGCAATTTAGCTGACTTAGCTATCTAGCGGGTCCCATTTTGTAGGACCCATATCTGTAGGATCTTCCGAGGTGCTGATGTAATCATGACATGACCGTACTGTGAATCCCTCCAAGGTACAGCCGAACTCCAATCCCAAAGAAAATCTACAGCTTCATCTTGAGATACCCTCTGGTAAACTAACATAGCTATTGAAAATGGCTATATATAGTGGATTTTCCCATTAAAAATTGTGATTTTCCATAGTTATGTTAGTTTATCAAAGGGTATCTTGAGCAATTCAGGGCGCACGACATACTCCCATGTAAATTAATCAAACTAAAAGCGTAGCCCATGCCACCATATCCCACCTCCAAGTCCCCGTCCAATAAGGTGAACTAATCCAATTAGGGCTCCAACGAATAGCGCTGTTCACTGAGCTTCCCAACGGATGTTCGCTTCCCACCTGGAGTCGTCCATAGGGGAAGACCACCATCCATGGGCTGGGTGATGTTTACGAGTGGGCTTTGAGCACACCATAGTTGGGCAAGAATTGGGCGAATGTTCGTAGATTTATATGAAAAACGTGGAGAATGTGGATGAATGTGGGGTATGGATTTGTAGCATTTTTGAACCAATGTCTCAGTGACCTAAACGACCGATTCATCACTGGTTGACCCTTTTTTGGCCACCCCGTAAAAGGGTCAACGGGGAAATCCCTATGGTGAAGAGGACATCACCTATGCATCAAGGAATTCTACCAGGTGGTGCCCCCCCAGTTATAAGATGTTATAAGTTGGCTTATAATCCCATTAACTAGTTCGATATATCTACCATAAGTCCTAGTGAAATTAGAGTTATGTTCACCAACTGAACGCTATCGACCGGGGGCACCACATTGTATGCATGGGCAAGCAGGGGTTGGTAACTGTCCCATTTTGGGAATATTGGACATCACCTTATAGTAGCCATTATAGACCATATACCGATTTTGGTTGGGTGATGTTCAATGGGGACATTTAATGACCCATGGCAAACCACCATTGATTACCAGAGACCACCCAAAAAACCCACGGTTGGGAGACATCCCTGGCACTGCCTCGCTCTCGCTCGGCTCCACAGGTATACCAGCGTTGGAGGTGCGACGTTTGGCGCCGATGTGGAGAGCAGATTGCACCTAGCGAAAGCAGCAAGGTCTGAGGTCTGAGTGCAGCATCCAAACTGGGGAAAGCAACAAAAAATGAGGATTTAACCAGCGAAAAATGATGCTTTAGCCAAGAAACATGCAGACTTATGCAGCAAAACAGGGGACTTCGAATTGTTTATATAGACATCAGAATGTGGGATTTTGATGGATTTTGCCGATTCTGCCATAAATCATTAAACATAGCCAACTGCTAAAAGGAAAGGAAAACACAACGAAAAAACAAAATGGAACATATGCAGATGTCCAACAGAGGACCCCACCGAAGACTCAACAAAAGACTCAATTACGGACTCAAATTTGTATTTGTCCTCAGTCTTTCAATGTTTCAGCAACTTTTCCCCAAGTGTTTCCTTCAAAATCAGCATTTTGCAGCCAATTTGTTTCTGCCTACGGCCCGAAAACCGGCCCAGCGTTTTTGCGGTTTTTTGTATTGTGATATGTTGGGGGCGGGGGGTGGGGTGGGGGGGTGGGGTTGTAATAACGTCCTGTGTGTACGTTATCATCGATTTTTTTCGGCGAACACACTTCCTGTTACGTTGCACACTTCTGTTTTGGGCAGGGGGTGGGTGGGGGGGTGTAATAACGTCCTGTGTCTACGTTATCATCGATTCTCTTCGGCGAACACACTCCATGTTACGTTGCACACTTCTGTTTTGGGCGGGGGGTGGGGTGGGGGGGTGCAACAACATCCTGTGTCTATGTTATCATCGATTTTCTTCGGTGAACACGCTTCATGCTTTGTTGCACACGTATGTTTTAATTCGGTGAACATACTTCATGTTATGCAAGTTGAAGTGGTGGAAAAGAATCGCTGGCGCTGTGGCGAAACGCAAAACCATCCAAAAAACGTAACGTTTTTTGAGGATGTTCATTGTTCAACATGAATTTTTGAATTCTCACTGCAATAAAGCAATGATTTTTCATAAATCCCAATGGAAATGGCGTGCCAAAAGGCACCATGATATAAACATGCAGCAAATGCCAAGTTTTCAACAAAACGAAAATCACAATGAACATGAAAATTGATGAAAACGCTGGGCCGATTTCCGGGCCGTTCGGTTGTTCCTGTTTGATGTTGTTTGTTTTTTATTTGATTTGTGTTTGTTTTTTTTGTTAGTTTATAGTTTTACTTTTTCCATCATTTCTTAAAACATGTCTATTCTGTTCCGACACGGCTACAAAAACAAATCCAGACTCAATTCAGGACTCAAACCTGCACGTTTCCTTGGTTTTCAATCTTTCAGCAATTTTTCCCCAGTGCTTCCTTCAAAATCAGCATTTTTTGCAGCCAATCTGTTTCTGTTTGAATATGTTCTGTTTTTATTTGATTATTTTTTTTTTGTTTGTTTGTTTTTGCCATCAATTTTGTTAGATTTTTACTTTTTTCCAAATTAAAAACAAATCCAGACTCAACAGAAGACTCAATTCCGGACTCAAATCTGCATGTTTCCTTGTTTTTTGTTTTTCAGCATTTTTCCATGTTTTTCTTTCAAAATCAGCATTGTGCAGTCAATTTGTTCTTTTTGTTTTTTTAGTTTTCTGCCGAGTCTATGTTTTCTCTTTGTTTTTCTTGACCCTTCTGTTGAGTCTCGCTTTTCCATTTGTTTTTTCCTGAGTGCGTGTGTTTTTGTTTTCTGATTCTTTTTTGGGGTGAAATCAGCACTTCTCTGGGCATTCGAAAAATCACAACCCCATCCCTTGCCCCCCGTGCCACCGCGGACCTCCGAAACCGTGAAGGGCGGCAGGCCACCCTCCACATGGGGCACACCCACGAAGGCTAAGGTACCTGGTGACACCACGGGGACGTGACCGAGGATTTTGATCTACGTCCGTATATATTGTGTATCTAGACCAGATACATTGTAATATCATATAATATATGTGTTTATAAAAATACTAGTGTTTATAAAAACAAAAAATATCATATGTATTTTGATCAAAGAATGTTTATAGATATCAATTAATTACATATGTAAATTAAATACGTAATGCATATACCATTTCTATTTTTCATAGCCATAGGTCTTGGTGAGACCCGTTGGCACCACTGCAGCAACTATGCCCTATGCTCTCCGGTGGAAAAATAACAGAAAGGCGCTTCAGGGTTGAAGGCCCATGTTTCTATGTGTTCGCGGCGCTCCCGGCTCTGAATTTGAACGGTATATGCTCATTTTTTCTCAGCCAGCAATCTTTCATGGTTTCATATGCCCACGCCGCTCTTGGGCGTCCCACCCTTCTTTGTTCAACTTGTTGTAGCAGGAGCGTTCTTGTTGCAAACATTGCTTGGTGTTCTGGGTGGTCTCTAGGTCTTCGAATGATATGGCTGTGGGGACGCGACTTCTGGCTTTTTGACAGCTACTAGTGCACCTCGTGTATAATTGCTCTTTCCAAGCTCATTGTATCGTTTGTGTCGAATACGACCTCTTTCAACGACATCTCTACATATATATATAAATAAAGAACAATATATATATATATATAGAACAATATACATATATATATATGTTCTTTATATAATTGAAATACATTTCTAAGACATATATATATATATGTTTGTGTGAGTGTGTGTATCAGGCTTCAGGCCAGAAGTCTCGTCCCGACGCCCAAGCGAAGCCGCGGTGTCAGCCCACGGGCATGGATGCGCTTTTGTCGGGCATCATTGCAGGCGGCCGCTGAGCCTGCGGAGAGGAGTGAAAGACTCAGGCAATACGAGTATGCAATCAAGGGTTGCTGCTTGACAATGATAGACGACCCGGCCTCATTTCCTCCCTGACCTTGAACCGGACTGCCTGCAGCTTTCTGCTGTCCTTGTCGGTCGCCTTCGCCCGTAAGTTGTCCTTCTGCTTGTTCTTCAGGACCTGGCCGCGGGAGGAACAGGGAGGGGCCAAGCTTCCATGCTGTGCCACTCACACACAGTACAAAGGAGCTGTTTGCGAGGCCCTGCCTTGAAGAGGGCGTCTTTGTGCGAGATGCCGCTGCTCTGTTGCAGGTCGAAGGCTTCCCGATCCACCTCAGTCACGTAGCGACGCGAACGCTTCTGTGAGTGAACACGGTGTGTTTTGTGGACCCGCCCTGTGTTTTGTGGACCCGGCCTTCTGCTTCATGCGACCAAGCTGTTCTTTGTTGATGTTCTTATCCAATGTCTCCTGTCGCTAGGTTGGATTGCAGAGACGGTGACAAGCAGTGATGCTATAAGTGTGATTCAATGGTGCTCTGAGTCCCTCGACAAAGCAATGATGCTATGAGTGTGGTTCGCTGGTCCTCTGAATCCCTCGGCATAAACGAAGTCGCTCGTGGGAAAGGTTGGGCACTGAATTTAATTTCCTGTTGTTGCCTTGATAGTCGAACTCAAGCCCGTCGTCTGACGACTTCAACTTAGTGATCGAACCTGAATCTTGTTGTCGTGTTAATGCGCAGGAATCGGTATTTATCTATGAGTCTTTGTTTCTATGTATGTATGTATCTATGTTTGTTTGTTTTTATGCTCCTCTGCTTGTTGCACGTGAATGAGCAGTGTGAGAAGTATGGCGACCGATAATAGCTGCGGATAAGGAACGGAAGTTTCCTCGCTTCTACCTGGCAACAAAATCTGAGCAGCGTGCTGGGTTCCAGACCCGCTGCAAGTGCAATGGAGTCGGCTGAAGGAATCGCGCGGGCAATTGCCGGATGCTGCAACGGCTCCGGCGCGTGCTTTTATTGCACTCGGTGTAGCAACTGTGCCACAAAGATGGTGCAGCAAGCTATGCCTAGTATTTACTTCTCTTGCCTCGTATGTCTCAAACTGCCGTTTCACGGTTTGCCTTTTCAAAGTTCTGGCCGTCTGTCTTTGACTACTTACCAAGTAGCAACCATCCTTTCACCCCCCTGTTTACTGCTAACATTTTTTTCCACCCATCCAAGCAGGTAACCTGCCACCATTCTGGTTGCCTCATTGGGCAGCCTGTTCTGCCACCCTATCTGGAGCACGAGCCTCAATGTCACTCTGCGGATGAATTCTTCCGCGCGGGTCCTCCAGTTAATCTGTGGACCCTGCGGTTGCTCGGCTTCCGCTTCAGGCTCGGTCTCCGCCTCGCTCTCCGCTTCTGGCCTAACAGTTTCCTTCTTTTGTCTCGTAAAATATCACTTAGCGGACGGATGATTCCATCTGCGCCTTCACCCATTTCTAAATTTGCACGTCTATACACTTCTTGGTTTATGTTTGTTCGATCAATGTACTATACCAGTACGTTGTCAACATTTTCAGAATTGTCCTTAGACGTTTCAATTGAATCGTGTCCATTTTAGCTGCCGTAGCCTCTGTGGGCTGAAGTGCTTCTGCTTTGCACATGAGTTTTGAAAAACATACTGCATTGAACGCTTGAATTTTCCACTTGTTTGACACACGGGCTTGTTTCAGAACAGGTCCAGCTTCTTTACTATAGGCATTGTCTGTGAAATTTCAGTTTTGGGATCCACCCTTTTGTTGATTTGAGTTCCCAGGTATAGATGGTTTCGTCCACACTTTCTAAGAGTTGTTCATCAGCGAAAGTGATTTGGTTATTTCTATTGAACGTGACACACACGCATTTGTCTCTGTTCAGTTTTGCGTTGCAATATGTTGTAATACTCTGACTCTTCCTCGATATATCTCAAATATTCGTTCGCATTTTGGGATTTTTGTTGCCACTACTAGCGTGTCATCAGCGTACAGGGGTTCTTGAAATTTCATGTTGTTGACTGTCTTTCGGTAATGAGGATCATTGTTCTTGCGCTTCACATCGAGAAACAAACCGTTCATCGTCAAAATAAACAAAGAAAGGGACAAGGGCGGGCAGAATTACGAATTCTAGAGTGTTGTTTTTTTTCATTCACTTTCCTTATCGATGTGGACTGTCTTGAAGAAAGGATATTCGCATATAGAGCCCTGATGTTACTAATCAGTTTGCTGTCAAATTTCCTTCTTTCCAGTGATTCCACTAGTCTCAAGTGACTAATCTTGTCGAAGGCTCTCTCTCAATCTAAAAATATCAATAAATACATCTATCTATAATATATAATATATATATATACAATAATATATATATATATTATTAAATATCTTTAAATATCAATAAATAAATATATATATATATTCCACCAACCAGATGGTGGATTTACCAGCAAACCATGCGATTGATTACCAAGCGGGCCCTTCTAAAGCGAGGTTTTTGGGCTTGGCGCCCTCATGGCGTCGAAAAATTGTGCCCACGGGAGTTGAGCAACGTATGTTTTTGTTCAACCCCATGTTCCCAATGAAATCCCTTATACCATGTTTGAAACGGTGAAATGAGGCTATTTATCTTTGAAATCTGCATGGCGAACAAAGTATGAAAAATCACCGTGTTATGGATTGAATCACCGACTTTTTTTTCGGCCAAGCCCAGGTGACACTTCTGACAGCTGTGATTCGAATCCATTGTAGATATGGAAGACACCTGTATGCACATACAATCCCCTTGTGAATTGAGTGAAAGTGTTGGTGTGAGCAATTTTATAGTGATAAATCTAGTGATAAACCTGGAGACGTTGACCATCTTTTTGAAAATGCACCTGTAGAATCAGAGACGCCAGGGTATTTTCAAGTTGACAATCTCTATAGAATTGCTGTCACTGAGGTTGGGCATGAGCATCATTCTCCATAGAATAGCTGGCACCAAGTTACTCTCGTAAAGCCTTTTTAGATTGGGGGGGTTAGTTGGCCTTCTATAAAATCAGATTCCCCAGGTCTCATTCATTGACAGCTGACCTGAATACTCCAGTTGCTCTTGCTCCAAGTTTTCAGTGTCAACCTGTTTTCAACATGAAATCTCTATAGAATCGCTGACACCAAGGTCCTCTATAAAATTGCAAACGTTGACACTGGGTAGGTATCCCTAAACAAAGGAGGGCCCTAAAACGCACCATGTTCCCAAGCTAAACTGTTGCGATTTTGCAGAGGAAATTGCAAGGAGGATCACATATATATATATATGAGTACACATATATATATATATGAGTGTGTGTATATATATATATAAATATGCTTATATGTGTGTGCTCATACATAGACATTTTTTGGCACACGTTGCTAATCTTAAAGATTTTGTTTAGCTATTCATTGCATGCATGCATAACTAAATATGTATATATACATATATGTATATATATATATGTAAATATATATATATATATGATACATGTTTACTTCTATGTATGTATCATTATACAATTATATATAAGTATCTCCGTTGAAATTCACCCCAAGGGGTCAGACCCCGCTACTTGTAGCTATAAACCCACGGGGTCTTGCAAAAAGGCTACAGAATGAATAGGCGCAAGTAAGAAAAACTCCATACAATATGGTAGGCCTTTGTGCATCAACCAGCTCTTTGCAGCACCCCCACATCTTGTAGGGAGGTATATTTCGCCCGGACGTTTGACTTCTATCTTTTTCTGGGTATGAGTCTTGCTTGCATGCTTGGACCCTGATCCCAAAAAGGGCATCATTTTGTAAGAACCTGTTGCTCTGCCATTTCCCTGCATTTTTCTCAATTGTCTTTAAGGAACAACCCGTGCTTTTTGTAAGGAAATGGGCTCACTATGGCTCACTGATATTTGCAGCTCGTTTTCCAAGAATAGCATTAATTTCCTACAAAATGACCATTAAAATCAACAAAGGGATTCCTTACAAAATGACTCGAACCCAGCCAAGTTTTCACACTGCATTTTGAGATTGCTATATGATAGTGATTTCATGCGTAAATCATCGATTTTGTTGCTCTTACAATGTGGCAAGGTTTTCCGGCCGGCTGCCTACAAAATTGGGCCTCCGAACTGGGCCCAAGGAGCCCCTTCAAATTAGTACATGCGAACCAAAATGGCTGGGCTCTCAAAAGTGATTTCCTACACATGACCCTAAAAATCGGGCGTAAAAAAGGGCCTGGAGGCCAGCCATTTCATAGGGGAAAAACATACTGTTTCTGCGTCTTTATTTAAAAGTATGAAGAGAAGAGATGGTTCCTCAACAGAATTGGATCAAAAGTGGCTTCACGACAGCGGTCCCCAGTTCTTGAAGACAAATCCTGGTCAGAAACCGACTGGTCCATCAGTGTACAGGCTGCCACCGCCACCCTTCAACGCCCAGGGGTCTTGCCACGCATGACCAAGTAGATGTGAACTGGTTGGTCCGCATTCCTGGGAAGTGATCCAAAAATGCTCCATGGCAGGATGATCAGCAAAGCTGAAAAATGAATAGACCTGATTAGACCTGATTGAAAGAAAATCATACCGAACAAAAATCAATCTGGGTAAATTATAATATTTCACTAACCTGAATTAAGGCCATTTGGGGATAATTTCCCTTACTAACCATGGTTCCAGTGAGGTCGCAGTGAGGTCGTTATAATTTACCCAGATCAATCATCTGGGCAAATGACTCTATTTCAAAATTCAGAAATTAGCCATGTTTGTGATGATGGTCCCTACTATCCACCATTTAGAACGAGCTCGTGTCTTTCGGTCGTGCAACAAAAACACCCAGAACATCATCACCATCTTTTTTTCCAGCGGACAAACACGTGCTTCTTGGGACCCAAACTCACCAGTTTTTTTAGCACCCACTCCACCCACTCGACCCCTGCAACCTCCATTTCCCAACCCCGGCTGCGAACTCGGGGCTGATAGAGAACCTCCTGAAATTGAAAGGTCTTCCTGAGCGGGACTTGAAAATGCAGTGGCCTACACAATTATTATATATATATGCTTGTATATGTATACAACAAATGCATGTATTTTTTGTTGTACCCCCCAAAAAGATAGAAAAGTAGATTATCACTATTTTGGTGATTTTGCTGGGATTTAACTGTTCTATCTTTTGGAAGTTACCTATGGGGAAACCCGTTCGGAAAATGATCTACAAATGGTGGCTATATCCCATAGGATCCATGGTGCTGCTATATATGGTGTGCCATGGATCCCATCAAGAAATACCCCCGGTAAATGTTAGCATTAATATAGGAGCACCATGGATCCTATATGGGATATATATATATATATAGATAGATACATGATGATACATGGGTGTGTCGGAAGATTTAGGAGGACAGTTCAGAAAAGGTATGATGGTATGATGGGTAATAATCATTCCACCCATCGAAATTGCCATTTTGGGATGTAGAGATCTAAGGTGATGTATACGTATTTCTGTACGGCTCAATTATATTCAATTATAATATTTCACCGCCCTGAAATAAGTCATTTTGGGGATGATTCCCTTTACCAACCATCATTTTTGACATTTGACCCTTAGTGCAGCACTCACCGGCTACTGTACACAGCTCCAACGGGTCTGTGAGCCATGGACCGGCCTTACTCACCATCATTTCGATGACGTCGTGGTGACGGCGTGATAATTATATGTGTATATATATATATGTATATATGCATATATTCTGGGTAAATTATAATATTTCACTATCCTGAATTAAGGCCATTTGGGGATGATTCCCCTTATTAACCATGATTCCCAGTGAGGTCGCAGTGAGGTCGTTATAATTTACCCAAATATATGATTCATAGATGTATACAGTATACATAGAGTCTATACCTATTACTGTACCGTCCTTTTTCGTTATAGCTTTCATGATTCTGCTACGGAACCATATGCTCTCATTTTGATTGATTCAACATATGGCTGTCTGAAACTCGAATAGCCATTCAATCTACTGGTTAATGATCATTTTCACCATTACAGAACATCAACTTCAATGTGGGTAAAACAATGCCATAAACCACCCATGACTGGGAATGGTGGCCACATACCACCTATTTATGGTGATGACTGGGGGATGGTAAACATGGCATTGTTTTTCCCATTGTTTTTCCTACATTACCACCATTTTCATAAGCGAAAGCATCGCCAGATTCTGTATCTGCACCAGGGCCGATGGCACTGTCACTACCAAGCGAGTTTCGAAATCGCTAATCAAACCTGGCAATGAGAAACTTACTATTTATTTGGATCATTTATATTCATTTAAATAAATATATATATATGCTCACCGCCCCCCAATGATCTACCTGTAGGGTGTGTTTTCCCTGTTTACATGTGAATTTCGGGCGTGACCATATATATATATAACATTATAAAACATAAGAATTTGCCAGCAAACCATGTTGGATGAAACCAAAGGTTTTGGCTGAAACAACGCCTCCGGATGGCCACCATTGGCTTTACCGAAAAGGCTTCTTGAAAATCCCACCATTGCTGGCTGAAGCAACACACCATTGGCGAAAATGGAAAGCTTACATGATATGGTACCCTCTGGTAAACTAACATAACTATGGAAAATCACCATTTTCAATGGGAAAATCCACTATTTCAATGGTCATTTTCAATAGCAAACTGTTAGTTTACCAGAGGGTAACCCCTGTGTTGCAGTGTTGAATTGCCAAAACCTGCCAGCAAGCCGAGTATCGGATGCATCACTGCTGCCAGCATCAAGGGAAGTCTTGCTGGGAGTGGTATACCTGGCTCCGTTGTGTGTCGTAGTGAAAAATGGTGAGTGAAAGGTAAAGGACTGCAGTATCTAATCCTGACCCTTAGTTAGGAATGGTTTAGTAATGTGCATTTATCTTATTCATTTTCTGATTTCTCATTGCGAGTGATCAATCAAAATGCAAGAACATATGACATATGTTTAGATTGGCCAGAATAGATCCCCTATTTGGGAACCATCCCTTGTATGCCTGCATGTTTGGGCTAGGCCGAGTCTCTCTTGATTTTGGTGGGGGCCTTTCGCTTCTGAGTCTTTCCATTTGCGTGCATGAACATCCTCGCAAAATACTGCTTTCAATATTCCATATAGCATAGAATGTCCAAAAGTGTAGCAGTCTGGTCGGGGATTCTATTTTCTGAATATTGTTCAGTTCCATCCCAATAAATGCTATGATGATCCCTAATTGAGCCATGACAGATACCCCTATCCTATTCCATCATACTGGTTGGTTGATAGGTATATAATAACCTCTTTTCTGGGTTAACATAATTTCCGACAAAAACCAGGTAGGTTCGGTTGTATTACTCCCATAGAAACCAAATCAACCGTCAGCCAACCATCAGTTATCAACTATATTCCTATATTTTAGTGCTGAACATCATGACAATTAAAACCCATCAGCAACCCGTAAAATCCCCCCTGTAATCTTACCTGGAACCTGGGTGGCGCCCATTTCATAAGGATTTCCCTTATAAAATGACAAATCTCCCTGAGTGGGGCATATAAAATGACACTTCCAAAATGCCATTTCTATAAAATGACGAGTCCGAATGTTATAACATGCGATTTATCCTCATTTCTTTTAACAAAAACATTTTATAAATTGGCAAACAAAATTATCCCGGTCAAACATCTGGATGTCATTTTATAAGCGCCGGACTAGAATAGTAGCATGTTGGGACCCTCTTTCGGAATAGACATTTTATGAACCTGTCACCGGACCATTTCATAAAAAACACTGCCGGCCAAACCATTTTTTGGGGGTATGTTTTTCTCAGTTTTAGTTGGTAATACCGGAATTTCAAAAGATAAACCACACTTAGAGGATGAACTATAATCTTACAATATATAAGGGAAAATAAGTATGAAAAATAATAAGAAAGCTAAAACATAAGTGCTTTCTTGACCCAGAGTCAGGTTTTCTTCTTGTTAAAATGGTTTGCCCTTTTAAAAGCCATAAAAACCTTGGGGGACAAAGCGCCCAGGTTGAGCTCCCGGGATATTTCGAGGGGGACTCCCGGGATATACATGTGTATATATATAATTACAGTGTACGTGTGTATATATATATATATAATTACAGTGTATGTATGTATGTATGTATGTATGTATGTATATATATATATATATATAATTATATATATACGGTGGTTTCCTGAAATGGGGGGGAGCCCCTAAATTATTGGTTTCAATACTGAAATAGTCTAAGTTTGGATGATTTCGGGTACCCCTATGACTTAGGAACTCCCCATGTAGTTGATGGGTGTTTTTAACCAACACAAACCAACAAACATAGCTAGGGACACCACCTATCGTTGGCTCATGCAACATTGGTGACGGATAGGTTTCAAGGACTGCAGAAACATCCCCATTAAACAAATGGGTAACTATTGAAACAGACACATACTGATTTATAGTTGATTTATATTAGCTAAGTTGGTTTGGTTGAGTGGCTGAACTACTATTGAGATTGGAATCTCGGTTGACGGGGTTTCCAAACCAACAAACATAACTCGGGTGCATCACCTTGCAGGAATATAACACGAATGTTCTGAAGACCCATCATATTCCGGGACCCTGGCTATATTATACATGCGAATTGCATTCGAAGTGATACGCTTAAAAGAAATCCCATTTTTTTGGCGCCGCGGTGTTACTAGCAAATCTAAGATGTGTCAATCACAAGCCAATCCCACTTTGGGGTGTGGCTGGCCTCGATGTGCAAACTCCCGACACGGTATGGGTCAACATTAGGTGCTTTGTTGACGTCCTGCGAAAGTTTAAGTTTCATGGGATATATAAATGGTAAAACGGCAATCAACTGCTGCAATCCATCCAATTAGGGGACCACAAGTTGGATGGAATGATTACACTAAACTTAAAATATCTTAAAATAAACTTGCAGATTAAACACACCGGCCCTTTTGCTTGGAATATCTTGCAAATTTCTATATATCTATATAGTCTATATATAAGAATCTAAGACATATATTGAATTTAAACATCTTAAAACAAATCCCATCAACTACCTTTCTGGATGGTTATCATATTGCATCCCCGCGTTTAGTTGGTTGAAACATGGTACACGTACTTGATGTTTATCCCAGTGGTAACAAACAAGCATCAGCGATTCAATCCTCTCATCACTGGATTGAGTTCAGAGAAAATCTAGAGGACACCCCTGTTTTTCCCCAAAAATATATGGTCTCCAGGGCCCCCAGGGCCCCCAGACCGTGTCGCTCCACCCACACCAGCATCCTTGGAGAGCCCAAACTACAACGGGTAAATCTGTTCAAATGGGGGTCTGCAAATGTGGGGTATACTTAGATGGGCCATGGGATTGGCGATTCCTGGTTAGTAACTGGGGATATAACCCCCTATATCCCAATTATAATCCATTTACTAACTAGTTAACTCTGTTCATGGGATTTTCTGGCATGTTTTCAGACAGGTTGCCACTGTAACAGAATGGGGCCAGTGACCCCCTGTGCAGAGTCACAAGAAAACCCACAGACAGAGGACCCTACATGCATCTGACAATTAGGGATTTCATGGTGGTGTAATGGGATTTGACCAACCAACATGGGGATAGAATGGAATATAGATGGATATAGTGGAATAAAATTGAATAAAATTCTGGTACATCATAAATAAATAAATAAATACATAAATAAATATATATATATAAATGACAACAATCATATTAGAGATTATTAGAATAATCTGTGAACAAAATCCGGCCATTCAGCAACCGGAGATGGCTGATTCACATCGGGGCTGTCCCAGCCCATGTTTGATGACACCATGTTGGGCAAGGGTGGGTACCCCAGGCTCAACACATGATCCGACCATCATTTCATCAATTTTGAGTCCATCCACTTTTCATAATCATGGCTTGAGGTTTCAATCTATTTGGATATGCTTTGCTGGTTGCAGTTTAAATCCGATGGTAAATCCCCACATCGCATCTTGATGCGTTTCGACTGCAACATGTTATGAATCTCCATCTTATCCCGGACATTTCAAAGGATACATCCACAGTCTCCCCAGCTTTTACGAATCAAAAATGAAGGTTTCCTATGGTTTCCTCAGTGATGGGCGTACCCCCCAATCATCCAAGAATTGACCATGTTATTTTTGAAACAACCATGGTGACTTGGGGATCCCCTATGGCTTAAGAAACCCCTCTCTGAGGTCGCAACTCATTCCGTAGCAACTTGCCTCTTGCGGTGGCCAATGGTAGAATAAGGATCGATTTGAAAGGAATGTAGTGGAATAGTGGAATATATATATATTATATAATAGAATATTATATATACAGTATTATATACATGTGAATACACATGATGCAGTATATGTAATTACATCAACATACATCAACCATTTTTGGGCAAAAACAGAGGGACCGTTTTTGGCAGACGATTTGCCATCATCTATTGCAACCGTTGAGGCCGACCCATTCAACAAGATGCAACACTCACCTGCAGGTGATAGATTGGCAAAGAGCGGTTACCGTGTACAATATGTTGTTGTTTTTCGTTTGTATGGAAATATATCGAAATGAATATTTTATATCTAAACTAGTCATTTATCTTATATCTAAAATATTCATTATATCCCACCAGTCGATAGATTGTGTTTTTATTCGGGTGGTGGTTTTTTTCATTCCGCCATTCCGAAGATTCTGCACATCTTACCCCGCAGATGGAGATGGATATGGAGCCTGCAACCTTGGGTTGTCTGTCGGGACAATTCCACAATTTTCTTACGCTACACCAACACTTTTCGTTGCAGGCCCACAATTGGCAGAATGTTAAACACAATTCCAATCAAATCATATGCCTGCGGAAGTATGTGTATATCTATGTGTATATATATATACACACAATATATATATATATATATCTATACAGTATATATATATACAGTATATATATATATATATATGTTTTTTCAATATATATATATATATAAGGTAATCAGATAATTTCAGGATATTAAAGGTACTTAAAGGTACGATACAAAGGGCGCAGAATTAAGTTGGCATTTTTTTTTTGCATGGTTTTTTTTTTTCGGGGTTGGGTTCCTTGCTTTTTCATTGTTTTTCCAGCAGTTTTCATCAATGTTCCGATTGTTTTCGCTAGTTTTCCAGCGTTTTTCCTCCATGTTCCATAGTTCTCTATGATTTTCTAGCGCGTTCCATCAGTTTTCCATAGTTTTCAAAAATTGTCTAGCGTTTCCCTCAGTTTTTCGATAGTTTTTCTTGTTTTTCTTCGCTTTTGCATTGTTGTTTTTCTATGTTTTCTTTATTTGTCGTTGCTTTTCTAGCGTTGTTCATCGATTTGTCCGTCCTACTCATTAGTTTTCCCTCTTTTGCATGATTTTGGACTTGGTGTTGTTGTTGTCGTTGTCGTTGTCGTTGTCGTTGTCGTTGTTGTTGTTGTTGTTGTTTGTTCTTTGTTCTTTGTTACTGTTGTTACTGTTGTTACTGTTGTTATTGTTGTTATTGTTGTTCTTGCTGTCCTTGTTGTTATTGTTGTTATTGTTGTTCTTCTTGTTGTTCTTGTTGTTCTTGTTGTTGTTGTTGTTGTTGTTGTTGTTGTTGTTGTTGTTGTTGTTGGTGTTTGTTCTTGTTCTTGTTCTTGTTGTTCTTGTTCTTGTTGTTCTTCTTGTTCTTCTTGTTCTTCTTGTTCTTCTTGTTCTTCTTGTTCTTCTTGTTCTTCTTGTTCTTCTTGTTCTTCTTGTTCTTCTTGTTCTTCTTGTTGTCGTTGTTGTTGTTATTGTTGTTATTGTTGTTCTTGTTGTTGTGGTGGTGGTGGTTGTGATTGTTGTGGTTGTGGTTGTCGTCGTCGTCGTCGACTTCCTAGCAAGGGGAGGGTCGGAATTTAAAAAAAAAACGGGTGGGGGGCGCGGGAGGAGGGCTCTTTTCAATAATTGTTGAGTATATGGGTCTTGTTACTTTGTTCTTGTTGTTCTTCTTGTTGTTGTTGCTGTTCTATTTCTATCGCAGTTATTCCTCTGTCTATCGATCTACAGTATCTATCTTTTAATACTTGTTGCGGTTGTGGCGGTTGTGGTGCTGGTTGTGGTTGGTGTTGTGCGGTTGTTTGGTTGTGGTGGTGGTGGTGGTGGTGGTCGTCGTCGACTTCCCAGCAAGGGGAGGGTCGGATTAATTTTAAAAAAAAGCGGGTGGGGGGCGTGGGGGAGGGCGCAGCGCCTCCCCCCGCAATGCGTGCTATGCGACTTGCACCCCGGCGTTGTTTTCTCCTCATTGTTTGGATCGATTTTGATGGTGTTATTTGTTACTGTTGCTGTTTGCTGTTGCTGCTTTTGTTTTTGTTGTTGTTGTTGCCATTGTTTTGAAGACAGGCGGCACCTATTTCTATCGCAGTTATTCCTCTGTCTATTGATCTACAGTATCTATCTTTTAATACTTGTTGCGGTTGTGGCGGTTGTGGTGCTGGTTGTGGTTGTGGTTGCGGTTGTTGTGGTTGTCTTGGTTGTGGTGGGGGGGCGCGGGGGGGAGGGCGCAGCTTTCATTTAGGGTTTCTTTGTGTCATTTGGCATTTCTTTAGGGTTTCATGTTTAATTTCGTTAGGGCTCGTTTGGGGTGTCATTTAGAGTTTCTTTAGGTTTTCACACGCATCAACTCACATAGATATAGTAGGAGGCCAGATTCAGCAAGTGTCCTGAGATACTTTTTTCAGACATGAAAAAAGAGCTCGTTAGGACACTTGATGTTGAAAAAGGTTGCAGTTTCTCTCCGATAAGCATGCATATAAACTCAAAGGTACACAGGGAAACTTCTGACTGCCATGCAACCATTGTGAAACACAATTCAAGCAAATATAGTAGGAGAACAACAGTTCAACAAGTGTCTTGAAATAGGGTCTTAAGAACTTTAGGAACAGCAAGTAGTTGGGACACTTGTTGAAAACAGGTCTCAATTCCTCTCACAACAGCATGCATATAAGCTCATATTACGACTGTAGTTTCTGTGCAGTTTACATGCAATTTATATGCAGTGTATTCTATGAAATTATGAAATGTTATATGCAAACTACAATACTACACATACATTCAACAGAAGTGCGGCCAAAAGCCAAAAGCCAAGTGAAACCAAAGCCAAAAAAAACAACAAAAAACAAAAACCAAAAGCCAAGAGTCAAGTGAAGCCAAAGCCAAAAGCCAAAAGCCAAATGGGCATGCAAATTGGCTCCAAACTGCAGCAAATAGCACGCAAATCAGGGATTTTGGCTCCAAAATGCAGCAAATACAAGCCAGAAGCCAGAAACCGAAGGAGCCAGAAGCCAAAAGCCAGAAGCCGAAAGCCAGAAGCCAGAAGCCAAAAAAGAAAAAATGCCCCCCCCAAAAAAAAATGCCAAAAAAAATACCCCTCCCTATACAAATAATAAATTACAGGCATAAGTCATAAGTGTACATCCTTTGCTCCTCTATATTCTCCATCCTTCGGCATGCAACTGTCCACAGGACCTTGGTGAAAAATGCCAAAGTATGGCAGTTCCGGAACATGTGATATGTCTACATAAAAGTAAAAATGACAAACATGATTTCAAATCCAAACATCTACATCAATTGCCGATAAATGTCATGGTTTCTCTGACAACTATGATAACTATGTGACTATTTCCGTTTATGAACAATAATGTTCCCCTAATTTTCCCCATGAACATTGCCGTTACTTTCAGGGCAAATCCCCAAGTTTCAGACAACCTATCTCATATCGTTGGTTTTTCCATGTTTTCCTTACTATGGTTGTTTTTTTTCTCCATACTTTCCGCATGACAAAAAGTGTCCCATTTTCCAAGACCACTTTACTGCGCCAACGACATGACGGTCGCGCCTTGGAAGACGTCCTTGGTGAGCTCCAACATGAGTTCCCGCGGCAGCGTGTCCGTGGCAAAGAAGGACTTCCTCAGGGTCCGGCGATAAACCAGGCTTTCAGACGGGGTTATGTCATAGAAGGTGTTTCTTGTGGAGAAGGGTTGGTTAAAAAAGGATAAAAAAAAGTTCCCTTAAAAAAATGGAATTAAGTTAGATCGCTACATTATAAAAATCCAGAAACATATTGTCATCTCTATATCAGTAGGTGTCTTGATGATGCGTTTGTTGATCTCTTGCAAATCGCTCTAGCCAGCTGATTTTTTAGTGTATCATTTATTTAGAAAATATATAAACAACAATGATAGGTGTTCTTCCGCGGATGTCTCCAGATATCTCCAGATATTGATTGGAGGGGATAGGACACTCTACAACCATTGCATGGATCAGGGCTGGGAATTCTTGCTCACGTTTACCGGGTTCCTGTAGTCCCTTCGTCCCAATATATGTAAAATACCCAATGGGCATGTAAAGGACTGGGGGTCAATCATGTTTACCAGCCAACATCAGGTGTCAAAAGAGATGCAACTGACACCGTTTAGAGGACATGGAAAGTGAAGCAAATGGTGGCATGGCAAAACACAACAAAAGCATGTTACAATGTTACCCATACTAGAGGGAGTCCAAGAATATGCATAATAATATAGAGGAGTCAACTGACCAAAATCAGATCCAACTAGACTACCAGCCCTACCAGTACTGTAGGAGGTCTATCGACAAACATCAACCGTTCAGGCACTTCAAACAACTCGCTGGGGGTCGTTCCCTACCCAGAAATACAAGTCACCAAATTGAGTGTAGTATTTTAATTTTACCCCTAATAGGGATTCCTTGGAGTGTGCGTGTGTGTGTACCATCTGAACAGATGTAAAACTTCTGATTGGTTTTCACTAATTTGCAGGGGGCCACGGCTCCATTCATCAGTCCGTGGCCAACGAAGCTACTGATGTTTGGAGAGGATATGCAGTCTGATCAACTGCACGTACCTGCTTTTTTCGGACATAGCAAGGGGCCAAGCTTAGAACCCCAACCACAATATTATACAATTTGCTGCACTGTTGTCGCAATCTGGAATCAATTTTGAAATTTACATGCATCAGAACCTTCCTCAGATTTTCGCCGAAACCATATCGCCGACAGTATTATGTTTTTTGACTTATTTTCGCCGAGATCCTGTCGCCGACGAACTATGGGTTATTTTGGGAAACAATCGCCGAAACATTATTTTGGATTTCCACATGCTGGTCAAAACTCTATGGAATCTGGTTATGACTACGTTTGACAATTTCGGATGCCCTACATCGTTTGCGAGAAGTACCTCATGTGGCTCTTTTATTCATCTAATAATCTAGGCTGGTTTGCATGTTTCAGGATTCAGTTCCTGCCGGATCATATAATGATCCATTCTTGTCTAGTGTGATTTCCATGGTGGCTCCGACATGGTGCCATGGAGCCATTGGAGGCAACCCTCTTCAGGGTGAGTGTTGACAGACTTGAATTCTGAATTTACACGTTTCAACTCAGTAATTCATTTAAGTAAAGTGCAACAGCCAGCCTTTCGGTTATTCGCCTTTTGTGATGTCCCGCCGCTCCTATTGTCCCAGGGACCCCAGTGCTGCGTTCTTTCAAGGGAAGCCATTCCGAATGTTCTGAAACCTCCGTTTTTTGCAGCTGCTTTGCAACACCGTTGCATCAAATCATGACAGAGAAATCAGGCAGGCACACGACTTTCAGGTGTGGTGATCCTTTCTTTTGATGGTTGTCTGGTGAGGTGAAACATATTGTGCACCTAATTCGTTGGAACTTGAAAGCTGTTTTATGCCATTGCGGCACGACTTGACCACGGTCCCGGTGCAGGGAATAATTGCACGATTTTGTAGGTAGTTAGGGACTGAATCCTGTATGTGAAACTTTTTACAATTGTCCACTTTTGTTTTGACCTACTGAAGCGATGCATCCGTGGAACACTCCAACATCATGGCCTGCTCCACCACAGCCTTCGAACCCATCTTCGACGTGGCCGCAATCGACACCGAGTGCACATTTATTTGGACATCCCTCGGCTTTGCATCCTACATGGTCATCCTCCGCTTCGCTCATGCCGTCTACATCCGCCCCAACATCGTTGCCGTTCACCTCATTGACTTCGGCTCCTCATGCAGTACCAGGTCCACAACTTGTACCCACCATGCCTTCACCTTTGGCTCCTGAACCAACTATGGTACACACCGCTCCGTCGACTTTTCCATCTCCTATGGCACCTACCGCTCCACCCGCGTGGCCTTCCACTTCGGCTCCATCCCCTACATCGACTACACCACCTACATCGACTATGACACCGACTCCTTTGCCCAGTTCTCCATACCCACCTCACCACATTCAACCTCCATTACAGATGGACGCATCGACGATCCCTCCAAATGAGCCTTCACCACGGCCCCCAGCAGTCAAAGCAGCTCCCAGGCATCGCTCTGACAAAAGACCGGATCGACCGCGCAGACCAGCTCCGAAAACCCCTCCTCACGCTACACCATCGACACCTCAGACAGCACCGACTTCATCCGTTCCACCTGAACTTGCATCCCTGGGTTCCACCGCACAACAACTGGCCGAATCTGTTCGACTTATCCAAGCTCAGCAACTATTACTCATGGATTCTCAACGGGCACAAGAACAACGTCAACTCCTTCTTCAACAAGATGAACATCCACCGAATCCTACACCACAGATACCGCCACCTACACCTACACCACCACTGATCGCCACGCCTCCACCTGCACCAAAGGCCAGACCCACCGAACCGGACGTTCAGGACCATCGCATTGTCCCAGCTCCAACCATCGCTCCTCCTCACCAACCACACGGTCCACCACCACCAACACGCCGACCACGATCCCGAACTCCAAGATCACGTTCCCATCGACCTTCTATACATTCCTATCGCCTTCGCCATTCTCCTCCACGTACAGAGCGACCTCGTTCTCCTCTCCCTCGTCATCGATCATCTACGAAAACCGACAAGAGCCGCAGAACACCATCTCCATACAGACGACGCTCACCACCACGACGCCGCTCTCCTGTGGTCCCTCGACGTCACCGCTCCCATCCACGCCCACGCTCCGCGACACCACGTCACCGATCCCGAGGCCGTGAAGTCATACTTCGACCTGCTGCAAACCCATCCAATCCGAACTACATTCCTTACTCCTGATGCTGATGACACCTGGGGTACATGGAACGAAAGCCACTACAACGACGCCTACGACCACCACACTGCTCGACCCAATTCTCCTACTGATCCACCACCATCGGAACCACAAACCAACCCACCAACCCACACTTCAGCACCACTCGGCGCGGTGTCCTTCCGAGTTCCGGACGGCGACAGTGAAAATTCTGAGGTTGCTGATACCATTTCGCTCACCAAGTTTGACACGAATGACATCGACCTCGATGAAATGGTGGCGGCGGCCAATGACCCCCATAGAGTTCGATGCCTGACCGAGCTTGGCCCCGATCATGTTGTTCCTCTACGCCAATCATTGACCCCGGCTATCTTGCAGCTCTTCAACCAGTTTGTGGACGCGATGTTCGAACAGTTGGCTAAACCATACCGCACCGTCAACAACCATCGTATTTGGATCAAAGCCAGCCAAGCCACCGTCAGGAATATTGCCAGGGCCTTTGCACAATCCGACTTACTGGACATCGAACTTGCAAAGCAAACACAAGCCTTCTATATTGAGCCAGAGAACTTGCTGACCATCACGGTTCCCACAGGATTGAAGAAGAAACCAATCTACCGTGGCGAACACATGGGCACCTACCTGATCTACCACAAGACAAGTTGGGAATCAGTTGCCAAAATTCTTGCTGAAGACTGCATCCGCCCGGCAACTTGGACAAAAAACGAAGCCGGTATACCGACCCAATACCCGTGTTACGGGTTCTTCGGAATGTCCTCTGAGATCGCAGACACCGACAACCTACCCGGCTATGCTGTCAGGATTTGTACCTCTCAGCTTTACAAAATAGGCAAAGGACAAAACCCATCAGGCCTGCTGGCCATATGCCGCTCACCCAAATGCATCCGTGCCCTAGCTGGAGGAAATGACCAAATCCAACGCTTGTGCAACCTTGCGGGCATCGCCAAGGGCAAAGACAATGCAACGGCTATGAACTCAAGCGCTGCATCTATATGCTACGTCGCCTCCACTCACCAGGTTTTCCCGGGCTTGATCACACACCAGACTGCGGAGACCAATGCACCTTCGGAACCTCCTGATGATTCTGCACGTCCAGTACGACCTGACCCTTCTGCCGACGCCCCAGAACCTTCGGAGCCGGCCCCGGACGACTCTCACAATACACCGAGCCACCGCGAGACCGCTACCTCTGGCTCCCGGGACTATGCTCGCCGATCTTGGCATGACAATGCTGCTTGGGACAATTCCACCTACAGCCGCCGAGATCGCCGATCCTCATACTATGACGACCATTCTCGCGACCAGCACCATGAAGGCCGACCTCGTTCTCGACATTCGACCCACCACTCCAAATCTCGTTGGTGAATTCTTTACCCTTGAGGAGTACCAGAACAAGTATCGACTATTCTACGTCGGCGATCCAGTGAGCCTAGTGGCCCTGCCCGATTATTTTGGAGTAACAATGCTTCTCCCGACATTCGGTATTGCTGCCACTTCTTCCTCAAAAGGTTTGTGACTCGCTGCATGCTCATATTGTGGATCCTTGCGCAAGATTCGTTTTCACCTTATGTTTCACACTCTGGAACCTCGTATTATGTTTCACTTTTTCACTCGCACACTATCCTTGTCTCACCCTGACATTTCTCGCAGCTTTCATTCGGCAGTTCGAGCGCATTTTGACCTATTGTCTCGTGACCCTCTCTACCTCATGGCGTCCCAGGACCTGATCTCCCAATACAGCGCGGATATGAATGGAATTCCTCCTTCCCAGCCGGATCGCTCGCGCACACCACCTCGTCATCCACATGGTTGGCACCAAGCAGTACC